GTGAGGAGGTGCAGGGGCCCCAGTGCAGTTTCTCTCTTTCCGTGTCTTCTTCTCCTTCTTTTTTTTTTTTTTTTTGAGGAAGATTAGCCCTGAGCTAACATCTGCTGCCAATCCTCCTCTTTTTGCTGAGGAAGGCTGGCCTTGAGCTAACATCCGTGCTCATCTTCCTCTACTTTATATGTGGGATGCCTACCACAAGCATGGCTTGCCAAGCAGTGCCATGTCCTGCACCCGGAATCTGAATCAGCAAACCCCCCAGCCGCCAAACCAGAACCTGAGCACTTAACCGCTGCGTCACCGGGCCGGCCCCTTTCCCTGTCTTCTTGAACTTTGTCTGCATCTTGCATCTCAGGTGCCAGCCCTGGGGCACGAGAGACCTTAGTGTGTTGTTTGGAGACGGGATAGAGAGTCTGGGGCCTCAGGGGTGTGGGCTGCCCTCCTCAGAGGGGATTCTAGGTCGGTGCTTGGAGCCAGTAGTGGCTGGACCTGTAGCAGCCAGGCAGGCACTGTGTATGGCTGGCCGGAGTCCAGGAGGCCCCTCTGTCCAGCAGCTGGGGCCAACTGCCCAGCTTTGGAGGAAGCGTACAGGTGCTGGTGGTTGCTGTGCCTAGGCTGCCTGGACCCTGGCTGTTTGCTCGGAAGAGCATTCCATGGCATCGTGTGTGGGGTCAGCATGGCTGCTGCACAGCTGAGGCTCACATTCCGGCTGCACCCACCACCCTCTGGATGTGTTGGAAGTGTGGCCTGGGGCTGGTAGTCGCCTGACCTCCCAGGCTCAGGAGGGTTTGCTTTGCTCCCGATGAAGCGGAGACGACTGTATACTGCTGCCTGTGCATTGTAGATCTCCTACCCGGCTTGCGCGTCCTGGCCCCTGGACTGGGCGCCAGCCTTGGTGTCCTGCTGGCAACCCACATCCCCGGGCCCCATCGAAGGGCAGGGCCGAGGCTGTGGTCAGCCAGGCTGGGAGTGCTGGGGGGAAATCCTCCTCACCTGGCCAGAGTTCTGCTCTCCCCAAGCAGGGGGAGGGAGTGGGGCCTTCAGCACCCGTGTGTGCAAAGCACATCCTTCTGGCTCTAGTGCGCCCCTTGCGCTTTTGAGCGGAGGCCGGCCTCCTGCTCCCGGGGATGCTTCTGCATGCGTCATGCTGCCAGAAGCAGCTGCTGCTAGACCTCCTGACTGAGATCAAACCCCAAACGCACCGCCTGCTCCCCCTCCCACTCTAAGCTTGCGGGCAAAGAGGATGGAGGCTCCTGAAGGAGGCCACGTGCGCCTGGGTGCGGCCCCACAGAGTGTGGCATGGCGCGGCACAGCAGGCCCCCCTAGAGGCCCAGGGTGTCCCCCCGGCCCCGGGTTGTCCACCCTTCTGGTGTGAGGGAGAAAATTCCTGGGGCTGTCGCATCCATTCACTCTCCTCACTTCTCCATGCCCCCTCGGCTCTGCTCACCTGGCATCAACTTTTGAGGCCCATTATTAGCTATCCATCAGCCCCAGCTCCCATTTCATTTGGTTAAACCATTGTTTGTTCAGTCTTTATCCCACAGGCAATACACGTTCATGATAGGAAAATTAGAAATACACAGAGGAGCAAAAGATTTGAGTATATATATCCTCAGATGTTTCTCTCTGCATGTTTATGTAAATCTATTTTTAAGTAAATGGCACCATCCTACACATCTTGTTTTAAAAGCTGCCTTCACTTGATATATGGAAACCATATAGATGAAGGCTTGTTAAATATTGTATACATCAATATCACTGGTAATGGCTGCATAGTATTTGCTTGGATGGTGATGGATAATATGTTTAAATATGACTGTTGGGAATTTAGATTATTGCCAAATTTTCACCATCACACTCAGCACTGGGGCGATGCCCCTCTTGTACACTTTGTTCTGCTTACGCAGTTGTCTCCCTGGGGGAGATGGCTGTGAGGGGAACTGCTGGATCGTCAGGCTTGCCCGACCTGAGGCTTTTGATACATTCGGAGACTTGTCCTCTAAAAAGATGCCCCAGTTGACGTGCCCACCAGCAGTGTGTGTGAGCTGCCCGGGAAACGCCCTCCCAGTGGTCTGCTCCTGGCCGCACTGAGGGTTTTCCCGGCTGCCCATTGCCTGGGGGGCTGCTCTGCCTTGCTCTCTGAGAAGGGTCAAATGAAGGGAGGGGACGATGGGTCTGAGGGGAGAACTGGGTCCAAGGACGGGTGGCGATGTTTGGTAAGTCAGAAGCATGGCCCCTCCAGCCTCCAGCCCAGCAGCAGAGGTAGCCCATGCAGGCTGTGTGCTGGGAGTGTGAGGGGGGTGCCTGGGCTCTGTCCTCACTGAGGCTAGTGGAGGGGACACGTCTTGTCTGGGAAGTCTTGGGTCAACAGTACCAACGGGCTGAGGTCAGAGGAGTGGAGAGCCCAGTAGGAGCAGGGCAGGCAGACTGGTGGGGCCCTGAGGGAGGACCAGGGCTTAGTTCAGCAAGAGGAGCTGGAGGGCATTCTGGGTGGGGAGACCAGCTAAGCAAGAGCTACCTTCCGGGGATGCTGAGGCATGTGGTCTGCTTGGAGCACAGCATGGACATTGAGGGGGTTGGTGAAAAAAGTGGCTGCATCAGGGCGTTGGGGAGTTTGCCCCCAGTCTTAGAGACGTGGGGGAGCTGGCAGAAGTTGAGTGAGAAGCCAGGGCTGATGTGGGCCAAGTGGGATTAGGGGCCGATGAGTGCTGCTGGAAGGAAGCACCGATGAAAGCAGGTGGTCCAGGGAGGAGGTCAGAAGTGACTGGCCTGAACCGGGGCTGTGAGGGTGTGGGAAGAGGAGGGGTTGGCAAAATGGAGGGAGAAGCCAGATCTCTAGCTACGACATAATTCAAATCTCGTGTGTCCATCAGTCTGGCTGGGACTCATCACTTTAAAGGCTCCTTGTCCCAAACAGCTGCTTTCCAATCTTCAGTCCCGGGGAAGATGCTTCTGCCTGACTCTCAGATTTATTGTCCCATCAAAAAAATGACATTTTATTTCTGAGACAAAGCCTTGGCCCTTGTCTCTGCCTGGTCAGGTAGAGCAGTAAGCCCTGAGTCTTCTTACTGTAAGGAAATGAGGCAGCACGGAGTCCCCTGCCAACTCCACTCTCCCTCACTGTGGGCTCTTGTGTGGGTCTCAGTCCCTTTCGCCTGGGAGCTGCCAGTGGCCCCTCTGCCTCTGTCATTCTGCATGTGTGTAAGTCTGTCCTGATTTTGGAAGTGGCTTATTTGGTTCTGATTTGGCAGAAAACTTCTAGGCAACGTGGTCAACAGGTTTGTCAAGGGAAAACTGATGAGTTCTTGAAGGAACCTAAAGACCAAGTCTTGAGCTGAGGCCTAGAGGAGGTGAGGGACTCACCCAAGGTCTCACAGTCAGTCAGCAGCACAAGAAGAGCAAGGGACCAAGATCTCAGGTGGCGACTCTATGTGACCTGCCCGGTTGGGCCACTCCATGGCTGTTGGGATGGGACAGTTGGGCCTCTATGGTCTGGGGATCACCTGTGGAATGAACTCTGCTATGGCAGCCTTGGTGCAGGGCTGGGCACGGGGGCACCCATTCCTGGTGATGAGGTGCTGTTCCTGGCATGCAGCAGGCTCGGGCCTCCTGGGCTGCTCACTCAGTGCAGTTTATGGGAACGCCAGCTCTTGCTGATGTGGCAAATTTGGTTTGCTCTTGGCCCCCTGCCTGCCTGTTTTAGTGTGCCCCTAACCTCCACAGAAACATGTCCAGGCCTTGCCAGCTGGCAGCAGGGCCTGGTTGCTCAGGGCCTGGCCCTGCAGGGGCCCAGAGGGGGGCAGGCCCCCTAAGAAGGAGGCTGCTCTGCCTCAGGACTGTCCTGGTGGAGCCTGGGCCGCTGCTGCCCGTTGTCACCACTCACATGAGCTTCCAGCCCCTCTCTTGAGGCCCAAGGGGCCAGCTGTGGCGGTTCAGGGCTTCAACTAGACCCATGACGTGGGCCTTCCATCTCCCGGCAGCCTGGAGAGCCGGCTTTGTCACCCCAGACCCTCCTGGGGCAAACAGCCTTCATGGCGCTGTGAAAGCTTCAGAGACCTCACCGACACCATGGCCCACCCCTCACTGGCCACGGGAGGGCAGCACCTGGCTCAAGGGCATCGAGGAGGCCAGGAGGGCAAGCAGTGCGAGAAGGCAGAGAAAGGAAGAGAAAGAAGATCATAGAATCCTCACCTCATAGATCCCCACCCTCGCCTGGTCCCCGAGGGTCATTAGGAGTTGGCAGTGGGACTCCGGGCTTTCTCTTCTGGAGATGGAGCCAACACCTGAACCACACAGGCCTGCACACCCCCAGGCTGTGTTTGCACTGATTGAGGACCACCGGCAGTCCCCTCTCCCAGCAAGGACAAGTTGAGTTTCACTGCTGCTTGGCTCCTATCCAACTGCCCTGTGATCTTTGCGTACCAGATGGTACTGAGCACTTGCAAGAACATGAGTGCATTCTGTCCTCACAGCAGTCCTGATGCGTAGATTTTTTTAAACTCCTATTTTACAAATGAGGACACTGAGGCAGCCCAGAGAGGTTAGCTAACTGGCCCAAGGTCTGTCAGACAGCTACTAAGGAGTAAGAGAGATGGGCCAATCCCAAAGCTTTTGGTCCCCAGCCCCTGCCCTACCCCAGTCCCTCCTTCTGAGTCCACCATGCTGGCCCCCAGGGAGCCCGCCGTCTGCATGGGCCTCACCAGGGCCCAGAGTCTGGCCATCAGAGTCTCTAGGAGGGCTTGTGGTCTGCCCTTATCAGCCATCTCTCGAGCAGACAGCCCCTGGCAGCCAGGCTGTGTTCCCCAGGAGAGCGGCCTTGGGCAGAAAGGTGGCTACGCTGCCCAGTGGGGACCTCTGCTCACCACCCAGGACTCCACCAACTCTTGCTTCCCAATGCCCAAGCAGACAGTCTGGATAGTCTTGGTGTGCCAGGAACCACATGGTAACCTGGAGCCATTATAAATGCATGAAGTGACAAGCCGTGTGCTTGCCTTTGCCCCCAGGAGCCCTGTTGAATCAACTGAGAAAGGACCTGCAGAGCAAACGCCATGAGCATCTCAGCTCTCGGAGGCAGCACCAAAGGTGAGGCCTGGGCTCCCTCTTGTCCCGGGCTTGGCATGTGGCTGCCTTCTTCCAGGCCTGCCCTGCAAGGGCCACAAGCACTGCCTGGGCAGCAGGATGAGAGTGGCATATTGGGGGGGCTGGAAAGGAGGCCCTAGGGTCCTGGGCTATGCTTCCCTTCTGAGGCTGTGTGGTCTTGCCCCCACCAGGGAAGCCTCTCCCACCGGGTGAAGAGGAACGCAATAACGTCCTCAAGCAGATGAAGGTGCGAACCACACTGAAGGGGGACAAGAGCTGGATCACCAAGCAGGATGAATCGGAGGGCTGCACACTGTAAGTCCAGGAGGCCAGGAGGGCTGGTGGGGACGGGGTTGTGATCCACGGGGGCGCCCGTCCATACCTGGAGATGCTGAAGGGCTTCCGCCATTCAGAGCTAGGCCAGGCCATGTGGCCACAGGCCAGCTGGGGAGGCCGGAGCCTGAGAAAGCAATCCAGCTGAGGGCGAGACTCGACCAAAGTCACAGGGTGGGAAAGCCCCAGGTATGGCACATGCTTATGGCATGTAGAGGCAGGCCGGGGACAGGGAAGGGGCGACGGCAATGGTGGGCCAAGTTCCCGGGGTGCATATACTGCACCCCACCTCCCCTGCCTTGGGGCCTAGCAGGCAGCCTCTAGGATGGAGGCCACAGGGTGGCAGATGGCATGGAGCTTGGGAGCCACTCTTTTGGGACCCCTCTTTCCCCAGCGAGCTGCCCTCTGGCCGGAGCCGTGCCACATCTTTGTCATCAGCTGCCAGGTAAGAGGTGATGCCCACATGACTGGTGGGCGGGCCCCATGCTGCAGTCCTCAGAGGTTGGGGAGGGAGCCTGAGCCACGAAGGGACATCAGGGTCTGCAGTGAATTTTCTGAAATCCACAGGAAACACGAGCGTTTCTGCTTTGCTCACTCTTGGGAATGGGAAGCAGGGGTCACTGGATCCAGGTGCCTGGCCTGGCTGTGTGGCCTTGGGGCTGACAGCCTTCCCTGCTGGGCCTCCGTGGCGCCAACTGTCAACTGGGATCGAAATTGTCACTGAGACCCCTCTGCAGGGAGTGAGACAATGTCCCTGAGGTGCTTCGGGTGGCTTCGAGAGTCGCACATGACGTCCCCCCGTCGGTAGCCTGCCTGCTGAGTGCGCCTGGTAACCAGCATGCCAGAGGAGATTCACATGTTTGCTCCAACTGTCTCCCTAGTTCAGGATGACATATTTTGACAGCTGGCTGAGGGGAACGGCCCATCCCCCCTCTACTTAGAGGACTTTTGCATAGTACTGTCCAGAGAGACTCTGAAGTGCCAGCACCTCCTGGCCGTGTCTGGAGGAACTCCTCCTGAGGAGTAAGGGGATGGGGGCCACAAAGTGCGGGCTTGATTCTTGCTCCGAACAGCTGGCAGCGGCAGCGGCAGCGAGTGCAGGGCCAGAGCCTGCCTTGGGTGGTAGTAGAAGCATTGGAAGCAGCTGGAAAGGAGGTGGCCAAGTTCACTGCTAGCCCCAGGGGCTGCCTCCAGTAACTTTAGCCTTGCCCATCATCCCACAGTGACTCGGCGCCTGCTACCTGCCAGGTCCTGTGCTGGCCACAAAGGACACAGCCCTCTCCTCAGGAAACTGACATCCTGGCAGGGAACAGGGGCACGAACCAAGTAGAGAGATGAACACGAAAGAGAATTGCAGTTGTGAGAGCCGCAGTTGGCAAGGTTGGCAAGGTTGGCAAGGGCCTGAGAATAGTTCAAAGGTAGCCTGCTCGTTGGGGGGCTTGTTTACTTCGGGGGGTGCAGTTCTCACTCTGGGCTTCGGTTTGAAGCTGCATTTGGAAGGCACATTCTGGGATGCTGTGACTCAGAGCTGGAGTGCCTGGAAGTTTACATAAACTTTGGCTCTCATTCTTTCCCAGAAAGGGTCCAGAGTCAGCCAGGGGCTGTGGCCCAGCCTCCCCAGGCCATAGGTATTTCAGCCACAAATGCTTGTGTGGCTAGAAGTGGGATAAGTGACCTTCCTTTCTCAGGTCCCACCCAAAATGTTCCTGCAACTTGATCACCTCCAGGAGGCTGTCCCCTGTTAAGGACAGGCTCTGTGGGGATGGAGAACACAGGCTCTGTGCTGCCCTTCCTGCCTGCCTGCATGAGGTCCCCAAGCTCCTCTATTGCTAGACAGAAGGGCCATCTGCTGAGTCCTTGTCCCCTGCTCCTGAGCCTGGAACTCACAGCCCTGGCTGCCCTACACTGTTAGCTCTTGGCTGCCCCCACCAAGTCCTCTGAGCCCTCTCAGTGCTCACTTGCTCCCAAACAGGAGGCATCTAGCACGTGGAGCCTAATGTTTTCCAGCCACTGACCAAGCCTTGGCCATGCCCTCCAGTCTCAAACTTCCATTAAGATTTGGGATGTGGGCATCCCAGGGGCTGGAGGAGCTGGCCCCCAGAGGAGTGGGGAGGGAGGGGCAGTTGGCCTTGGTTGGCTCATGCCTTGGCTCTGCCCCTTGGGCCCTCATGAGCCTTCCTGGAGGAGGCTGTACAGGGGCAGAGGGTCAGGCCAGGGGCCGTGGGCTCTGCCTGCCGTGGCCTTAGCCCCAAGCCTCTCACCATGGAGCCTCCAGCCTGAGCTGGATCTGCTCCAGCTCTGAGAGTAGAGGGTGGGAGACTGTCAGTAATTCCAGAAGAGCTCTTGCTCAGGGAAGTACTGGGGCCCGGCAGGCCAGGGAGAAGCCAGACTTTGGAGGGGACACCTCTGCAGCGAATGCCCAGCCATGGAACACACCTTCCTGGGCACCTGCTGCAAGCTAGAGCTGGGCCAGGCTGGCCCCGGAAAAATCAGCCACAGGTACTTTTCCTGGGGAGCATGAGGGAGACAGGCAGAGCTGAACTGGCAGCCCGGCCAGCCACTCTTGCACCCCTTGCTCTGACCATACTGGGACACCCGCCAACCAACCCGCTTTGCTGTTGCTGGGGACAGGAGAAAGTAGGGCACCCTGGGCCCTCCAATGAGGCCTCACTTCACTTCATACCTTCTTTCCCCTTGGCAGGCCTCCAAGCACAAGGGCTCCCACTGGCTATATCATCCGGTAGGTGACAGCAGGACCCTGCCCGCCTCCCTGTACCCACCTGCACCAGCCCCTGGCTTCTTCCAGGGGAGCTCACCAGGCTGCTTCTTCTGGGCTCTCTTTTAGGGGAGTGTTCACCAAGCCCATAGACAGCTCGTCCCAGCCCCGGCAGCACTTCCCCAAGGCCAATGGAGCTCCGAAAAGGTGTGTCTGTGGGGCGCTGGCCAAGCTCACAGCAGAGAGAACACTCTGCCTGTCACTGCGGGGGTGGCGAGTGGCAACTCTGTTCCTATGTAGGGCGGGGCCCTGGAGAGCAGTGTGGGAACCGAAACCCCCCAGGTGGATGCGTGCTCCGTTTGGGCGCTCTGGTCTCCCAGCAGCCAGGCCTCTGGGACACCCTGGGCCACTACTGGTGCCCAGCCCTTAAGCCAGTCCTGACCAGCCCTGGTCACTGGAGGAGAGGTGCAGGGAGGAGGCTGGGAGGGGCTCGCAGCCTCGACTTGCTGACTGATTGCACTGAGCGGTGTGCTTTAGCCCACCTTCTCCCGGCAGGCGGAGGCGGCATGCCGTCAGAGCATCTTGGCGTCAGGCTGCAGCTGGGCTCCATCAAAAAGGCAGAGCCCCAGGGGCTGGGTCTGCCTATGGTAGGAGGGCTGCCCTGCTCAGGGTGGCACGGATGTTCTGGGTGTCTGGCAGGCCTGAGAGCAAAGAGGAAAGGCCACTAGCACCCCTTCATCCACCTGCCATGTGCCCGCTGGGCCCTGTGGGCAAATCTGGAAGCGAGGAGGGGACTTGCGGGTGGGCACACGGAAACTCCTTGCCTCTCCAGCGCTGCCGGTCTGGTGAGAGCAGCTCCCGCTGGGCCTCCCTGTCCCTCCTCCTCCGGCTACAAGATGACCACTGAGGATTACAAGAAGCTGTACGTATACAATCACAGACCCAGCTCGGTTCCCTCCTGCAAGGGATGAGCCCAAATACCGGGCCTGCTGAGGGCATCTGGCCGCTTGCCTCTAAGCATGGCCTGGGAGTGCTTGTCCCGCTGGCCTGACATCCCTGCCAGTTGCCACTGTGGCATGGAGCCCACCAGAAGACAACAAGCCCCAGAAAGTTAGACAGCTGTGCACATTGTACTTCTGACAGAAGGCAAAGCAGGGGCTGAAGGAGCTTGTAGAAGGTGCTGATGGGTCTGGAGAAAGGGTCATGGGGGCCTGGGGCTGCTACTGGCTGGTTGTGTTTCTTGGGCCTTCTGGGCCGGGCCAGGCTGGGCTGGGGCCTGATGATCCTAAGCAAGCGGCTGGCCCTGGCAGCCTATCAGTTGATGGGCATTTTGTGCCTAAATCTTAGCTACTTCTTGGATATAAATCTTTGGGGTTCCCTCCAGAGCTCCCCTTTTGACCCCTATCCAAGGCCCCCTCCTGTGTGCCCAGGGAGGGGGCACTCTGGACAGAGGGGTGGGTTGTGTCCACAGTTCCCAGGAGCCCCACATCTTTATATTGCTTGTCCCTTGTTGCCATCATCCAGTGACATGGAGCAGCTAGAGAATCTTTTTGGAGAAGGGATGAGGCTTGAACTTGGTCTTGGGGGACGGTTGGGTTGGAACAGGGAGAGGGAGGAGGGCTAGCTCTTGAGGAGGAAGAAGCGGCATGAGCAAAGGCCCAGAGGCAGCGATGCCAGCGTGTGTTGTTGTAAATCAGGAAGCTAAGCTGCTGAGAGTAGCAGCCTATGACAGGGAACAGGGGCAGAGGTAGGGGGCAGAAGGGCCATAACTGCCAGCATCCTCAACCCCTCCCCTGCCCCCAGGGCGCCCTACAACATCAGGCGCAGCTCAGCATCAGGGGCCGCTGAAGAGGAGGAGATGCCCTTCTCTTCTGACGAGCAGAAACGGAGGTAACGGTGCCCGCTGGGCATCCCACGGGCAGGGCAGGGGCTCAAGTCTCCGCAAACTGGTAAAATAGAAATTGTGCCAGCGGGCGTGACGAAATGCACAACAGGAAGCACATCAGCACTGGCACGTTTGCTGGAGGAGTGGCTGCCGGCAACAGGTGTCATTCCTTGAGTCCCAGAATCACCCGTGCAGTGCTGGGGACCCTCTTGTAAACCTTCTATGGGGCAGAGCCTAGGTAATGAACGTCTGGGGGAGGCCTCATCAGTGTGTGGACGCAGGGTGGGGAGGGAGGTGCTTCAGGACTTTAGATCAGTTTGTTATAAAGGGTCCTGAGCAAATTGGAGGAGCCCACTGTGTGTGCTGTGTGTGCAGAGTCCGGGCAGGGCCTAGTGCCTGGGGGGCAGGGCTAGGCTCCGGAGCTGCCAATGCCCCTCACCCCAAAGTGAGACCTGGGTGCTTGGGCGGCAGCTAGGACCTGAGGAAATAAAGCCCCCTTGTGCTCAGCACGCCCCCAGTCCCAACATCTACTGGCTTAGGAAACAGTGAAGCCCCTGTGCTAAAGGCCCGGCAGATGGGCAATTCTAAGGGCAGGGGTCTCCGGGCCTGGGAGATGCAGGGGAAGAGCCAGGAGCTCTGGAGCCAGGCTGCCGGGCACTGACTGCCTGCTCTGCTACTGGCTGGGTGTGTGATCTCGGGTATGTCACCAAAGGTCCCCATGCCTTGGTTGTCTCAGCTGCAAATTGTGGATGATACTGGCCCGTACCTTCCCGGATAGTAAGGAGTCACTGAGGCAGTGTGAATTGGCAGCAGCCAGTGCAGGGCTGGGCCCGCACTCCGTGCTCCATAAACATGGTCGCCCTTCCCTTGGTCTCCGCGTTTCCTTGGAATAGTCCTCAGAGCAGGCGCTACTCTGGCTTTGCCCACTCTCGTCCCTGGGGTGGCCCCGAGCCATTCTGAGTCCTGCCTTATGCCATCAGATGCTCCCTCCCTGTGCCACCCCAGGTCAGAGGCTGCAAGCAGTGTGGTGAGGAAGACAGCTTCCCGGGAGCACTCGTACGTCCTGTCAGCGGCCAAGAAGAGCCCCAGGTGAGTTGCTCCACGCTCTGGGACAGTTCCCTTCCCCTCAGGGCTCTGATCTTCCTCTGGCTGGTGAGGGGTGCGTTGAGAGGGCCCTTCGAGCCGGACCTTCTGGGATTCTCAGATGTACTTTCTGGAAAACTGAGAGGTCTGACTGCTGCTATCAGGGCAGGCAAGGTGTTGGGAATGAGAGAGAGGCCCAGGACCCTCTGAGGCAGAGCGGTCATGATGTCACCTGTCCACGGGTTCTGCCCAACATGTCACCTTTCTGCCTCCTTTCTAGCAGCCCTGCCCAGGAGACGCAGGCCCCGTTCATTGCGAAGAGGTAAGTGTCAGCACGGGAAGCCTTGGAAGCCTGTTGCTGACCCCGGAGAAGGCCTCCTGCTGGCAGGGGCGGGATGTGGGTGCTGGCTGCTGTCCCTGAGCAGGAGGAGTTGTGAGGGGGTGGTAGCTTTTGTCAAGAGGCCAGGTGAGCACCTAGGTGGCTGTGGTGGCACATGTGGCCCTGGCAGCCAGTTCTATATAGGTAGGAGCCTGGCTGAGAGAACACAGCTTGTGGCCAGAAACTTCCATTTGCCAATGGCTAGCAGGGCTAGGCCCCTGAACCAAGATGGAGCTGTAGTGTTTCCAAGGGCCTCTGAGGTTCAGAAGCAAAAGTAGCGACCAGGGTACGAAGGAGTTGCTTCCTTGCCCTCCCCCACCTGCTGGAGACGGGCTGGACAAAGGCTGGGCAGGAAGGACCACTGGGCTGGAGCCCAGAGGCTTGCCATTGGGAGCCCCTGCCTGGCCAGGCTCTTGGAAGTGACCATGACATTGGAGAGGGGCCCTAAAGAGTGAACAGAGTTCAACAAGGAATGATCAAGACATTAGGACATTCCAGCTGAATGAAGGAGGGGTGTCACCATTAGTTGAGACAGGACGTCTTCTGGGAGAAGAGAATATTTGAGGAAGACAGGGAAGAAACTTCTGGAAAGTTGAATTTTAGGGACATTGTGTTGGGTGGACATGATGTAGCTTAGCGAGCTGAGGACTGAGAAGCAGGGAGGAGCTAGCATGCTTAGTGTTCCAGGCAGAAGGCCCAGCTGGTGCAAAGGCCCAGAGGTGGACTGGAATACAGCCAGCAGAGGGTAGTGGTAGCACAGAAGGAGTGACAGATAATGGTGTGCTCTTACTGGCTGTATTAGGTTCCTGGGGCTGCTATAACAAAGTACCACAAACTGGGTGGCATAAACCCTAGAAATGTATTGTCTCCCAGTTCTGGAGGCCGGAAGTCCAAGACCAAGGTGTCACCAGGGTTGGCTCCTTCTGAGGGCTCTGAGGGAGCAGCTGTCCCGGCCTTTCTCCCAAACTCGGGTGGTGGCCAGCGGTCTTTGGCATTCCTTGGCTTGTAGACACACCACTCCAGTCTCTGCTTTCACCATCACATGACTTTTCTTTTCTCTATGTGTCTGTGTCCAAATTTCCCTCTTCTTATAAAGACACTGGTCATTGGATTTAGGGCCCACCCTAACCCAGTACGACCTCATCTTAACTAACCACATCTGCAAAGACCCTATTTGCAATAAGGTCCCATTCCCAGGTTCCAGGGGGACATGAATTTTGGGAGGACCCTATTCAATCCTGTATGCTGTCCTTATTCCGAGCTGGAGTTTCTGAGCCCCTAGCCTGGGCCACCTCATGGCCCTAGACTCCACTAAAAGAAAGCATACGCTTCAGGAGCAGCAAGCTCCGGGGCAGCTGAGCGGGATGTGAGTGCCCTGGGGACGGTCATCTGTTTCTCTTCTTGCCCAAAGGGTTGAGGTGGTGGATGAGGACGGGCCTTCTGAGAAGAGCCAAGACCCACCTGCTCTGGCAAGATCCACCCCTGGATTGAGCAGGTAACCAGCTACTCATCTCTGCCTGCCACTCAGTCACTGTGAAACCTCTGCCAGGTCACCTCTCTGCAGGACCTCAGGGTCAGTGTCCCCATGTGCCCAGGGACAGGATGGGGCACATAAATCAGTAAGGCCCTGTCTGGCTGGATGTCCTAGGGCTGAAAGGAGAAAAGCAACCTGGCCTCCAAGGAGAGAGCGCATCACTCTTGTCTGTTTAATGTTTATCTGTGTCACTTTAACCCTTGACCACTAAGCCCAGTGGTGGCCACAACATTCTGAGAAAAAGTACCAACTCCAGGGTTGGAGAGGGCCTGTCACCGGGGCACCAGCCCTGCCATTCTTAGGCTTGTTCCCGGCTCTCCTGTAAGTTGGCCAAGTTCAACCTGCCAACGCTGTCCTCCGCCTCCTGCCGGGGAAGGGGACTCCGCAGTCCCCAGCACTGCTCAAAGCTGCCTTCTTTGCCAGTGTGGACAGAGGCAGAGCCAAAGTGTCTTGGGCAATGTGAATTGAGCACATGCTGAGTCTGCCTAGCCCCAGCCTAGCCCCACTGGGAGCTGGGAGCCCAGGTGGGGCCGAGAGCTGGCTCTGGCTTGTGAGCCGGTCAGATGGGAGGGTCCGGCAGTGGAGTGACAGGGCAGGGGCAGGCCGAGTGCTGGTGATCTCACTCCAGGTGGGGCCCTGATTTGCCCTGATTTCTGAGCCCCGAGTGTTGGGGCAGATAATGGTGCTCTCTTATCTGCGGATGAAGAGCAATCGATACCTCCTTGTACTTTGTGCTGAATTGTGCTACGTCCTGCTGAGAGCATCACTGCCCTGTTGTCGCTGTTTAAAGCACCTGCCTGGATTGGGAGCTTTGCCCAAATCCAGGTCTGCTAAGAGTTGTGCCTCTGTGACACTCTTGGAAGACCTGGAGGCCAGAGTGGCAGAGCACCTGACCCTACAGGTCACTTTCAGGGGCTCCAGGGGCTGTTCCAGCTCTTCTAACGCCACTGCAAGCCCCTACTCCCCTCCCCAACTCAAGCCCCACAACGGTTTGTATGCGACCACAGTCCCCAGGGCCACTTCCTCTGTGCCAGGAGGGAGACAGGCCCACCTGCTGCAGCACAGACTGGCGGAGGAGAGCGGGGTTTCAGACCTTCTCTGCCCAGGGGGAGCCAGGAATGTGAGGCCAGCCCCAGCCGTGGCCCATGGCCCGAGCAGCAGGACTGCTGGGCTGGGGAGGAGGCGGCCAGGGCCTCCCTGCCGGAGATGCCCCTGCTCTTCACTTCCTCCCTCTCTTGATCCCCCCTGTTTGTCTGAACTTTTGTCTGTAAGAACTTTGGAACAAATGGAGAGATCTGAGAGCTCTTCACAAAGCAGCATCGAGGGGACTCGGAGGCCGCCATAACAAAGTCCCACAGACTAGGGGGCTTAAATGACAGAAATGTATTTTCTCCCACTTCTGGAGGCTGGAAGTCCGAGAGCAAGGTGTCAGCAGTGTTGGCTTCTTCTGAGGCCTCTCTTCACGGCTTGCAGACGGCCGTCTTCTCCCTGTGTCCTCACGTGGTCATCCCTCTGTGCGTGTTTGTGTCGTCATCTCCTCATCTTATAAGGACCCCAGTCAGATTAGATTAGGGCCCCCTACTCCATTATGCCATCATCTTAACTAATTATGTCTGCAACAACCCTATTTCCAAATAAGGTCACATTCTGACATCCTGGGGGTTAGGGCTTCAACGTGAATTTTGTAGGGGACACGATTCAACCCCAAACAATGCACATCTCTAATTTCTCTTTATTTCTCTTCTTTTTTTTTTTTTTTTTAAAGCAATGAATGGTTTCAGATGCTTTTTAAAAGAGAACATAGGAGGAAATTTGGTTGTGATGTATTATGGATTTGAGAGGCATTTCAACATTTATTCCAGAAAATTTGGGGGTATGTTTAAGCCTCATCACGTGGCTGTCATAACAGGGTGGCTGTCATAGTCTGCTCGGGCTGCCGTGACACAGTACTCCAAACTGGGGGCTCAAACAACAGAAATGTATTGTCTCACAGTTCTGGAGGCCAGAAGTCTGAGACCAAACTTGCCTGTGAGGCGCCAGGAAACAGAACTGGGACCAGATTATGGAATGTTCCAGATACCAGAGATGTCTCTCAACGGAGCAGCCTCCATCGGGAAGGAGGGAGCCCCCCTCAGAGCGCACAACAGGGGCTGTCAGGGAGGCTCAGCTGGACGCTTCTCTCAGATCCCACAGCCCCGACAGAGCAGGAGCCCACCGGGCAGCTTCCAGGGGAGCCGTCTGCACTATCAGGCAGCCCTCGTTAGTCCCCATGCCCAGCTCCTGTCTGCCTGGCTCTCTGAGAGGTCCAGGTCTGGCTGTGCCCTTGAGGGAGCCCAGGCCCATGGGGCGCAGTGACTCAGCCAAACCCTGGGTCCCACAGCACCTCAGCAAAAGCTGATTTCTGGCAGGCTGGGACAGGAGACTATACAGCCTTGGCCCCAGGCATGGCCTTGCCCAGGCTGCCCCCTTCCAAGCCTGCCTCTGCCCCGTCCCCCGTGGCTCAAGTCTGAAGGTGAGCTCCTTATCTCATGCAGCAGGCCAAGCGGGAGGGACACCCCTGTCTTAGCTGCCAAACCTTTTAAGGACTTCAGGGAGGGCTGAACGTTTGAGACAGAAAGAGTACCACACAAGGACGCCCAAAGGCTGTGTCCTTGGGGCTCTTCAGCTGTCTCTTTCCTCCCATTGGAACTTGAATCCTGCTCGGGACTCCAGACCTGCCTGGATAGCCCAAAGGCCCCTCATCTGCAAGTGTCCACATCTGAGCTACTTGTCTCCACCAGCAGCCCCACACCCACACTGCTTGCCGGTAGAACGGGCTCTCCCTCCATGCACCCTGGGGCCTGGTTTCTTGGGTTCATCTCATTTTTCCCCTCTTGCTGTGGGACAACTCCTGCCCACCTTTTGAACTGAGCTCACTGGGATACCCTCTACCAGAGAAGCTGGCCTGCTTGAGGGTTCCCAGGCCTGGCTGCTGCCTCTATCACAGCACTGCTCAAGCTTTCTTGGCTCTCTGCCTCACCTGACCAGGGCAGGGCCTATAGGCTGTGCCCCAGCACGCTGCCTGGCAGAGTAGCTAGAGAGCAGTGAGTAAGAGCACAGCTTCTGGCACAAGGGAAAACCCTGGCATTGCCCTGTACTGGCTGTGTGACCTTGAGCAAGTCACTTTACCTCTCTGTGCCTCAGTGTTCTCACATGTAAAATAGGGAGCAGTGATACCTACCTCCCGAGGCTGTCCCACATACTAAACGGGATAATGCATATAAAGTCCTTTGTGCAGTGCCTGGCTACTATCATCCAGTCTTCCTCACTACAGGCTTGCCGATTTGCAGGGCCCTCTTCACGGGAAGAAACAGACCAATATCGCCACCTGCTGGCGTCTCAGGGAAATGCGGCTGTTGGGGCCAAGAAAGGAGGTATTCCCTCCCTCCCCCGCCTCTCTCCCTCTTTTAGCTGCATGAGTCATACACTCCTTGGCACAGGCCACCGTCACTTGCGTTCCTGCAGGCCGCTGGGGCCACACTGGATGAGTGTTCCTGGACTCCAGAAGCTCTCAGACCAGCTGAGAACTTCAGGTTGGACTAGAACTGATGTGTGGTTGAGCGTCTGGGGACGTGGCAGGGCTGGTGGGGGGCTGCAGAGGAGGAGAGGCTGGAAGGCCCCTGTATGAATTTGCTGGGGCTGCCATGACAAGGCACCAGAAACTGGGTGGATTAAACAACAGGAATGTATCATCTCATAGTTCTGGAGGCCAGAAGACCTAAATCAAGGTGTCGGCAGGGCTGTGTGCTCCCTCCGAGGGCTCGGGGGGGATCTGTTCCACGCCTTCCTCTTAGCTGCCGGTAATGCCAGCAATCCTTGGTGTTTCTTAGTTTGTAGATCCATCACTCTAATCTCTGCCTCTGTCTTCACATAGCTCTCTTCCCTCTGTGTGTCTGGGTCTAAATGTCCTCTTTTTATAAGGATGCCAGTCATTTGGGATTAGGATCCGCCCTACTCCAGTACGACCTCATCTTAACTAATCACATCTGCGATGACCCCATTTCCAAATGAGGCCCCATTCACAGGTACAGTTACGGGAGGTTAGGGCTAGGACTTCAACATATCTTTTGGGGGACACCGTGCAATCCACAACAGCCGCCTCTCCCCAGAAGAGGCTCCATTTGAGCTGGGTCTATAAGAAGGAATCACTCAGGGGGATGACAAGGAGGAGGAAGGCATGGAGGGAGAGGTGCAGGTTTGGGCAGGCTGGGGCAACACTTGTTCCTCTTTCCTCTGACATAGCAAGAAACGCCAGTGAGAAACTGTTTTACTTGCCTGTGACATCCCCAAGTGGGACGTCTCCCTGGTTCCTGGCACCACTTGCTGTAGATGGGGCAGAGTAGGGCCAGCGGCCAGCAGCTTTATGCCGTCGTCGTCATTATCGCAGGAGCAGTCAGGTGGGGATCAGACCTGCCTGTGTGCACTGGGCCTCCTCCTGGCCTTCCTGTAGGGAAGGGCCCAGTCCCTGGCAGCCCTTCCGTTTCCTTCTGGTCATCTCTAGTGCATCAAGTCTCAGCCTGGAGGCACAGAGATGAACAGCCCACTGACCTGGTCTTCCACAGGCTCCAGGTATAGGTTGGAGTCAGAAACCAGGGTCAACTCCAAAGTGACCGAGGGCAGCAGGGCCACCTGGGCTCACCCAAAGCAGGGACTACCCACCTGCCTGTCTTCACCCTGGCCCCTCCAATCTCTCTTCCTCCTGGGACCCTGGAGTGGCCTTTCTAAAGTGCCAGTCTGATCCTGTCAAGCCCCTCACCCTCCGCTTCAAGCCCATTCGCTTTGCCACACCAGATCTGGTCTCAGCATTTAAGACGCCTGCCAGCCGCCACCTCCTCCTCCCCATCTCCCTCCAGCTGGCCTGGCCTGGCCTGGGCTACACCTCTATGAAGCTTCTCGGGTGCCCCTGGGGCAGGATTTGTGCATGGCCCTACAGCTTAGTAGAGTCAGCACCCATGCCACTCTGGCCTCATCCTGCCCCCAATGGGCTGGAAGATTCACTAGGGCAGGCCTGGCGCCCACCCCAATCTCCACCCCAGAGCCCAGCTCAGTGCCCAGGGGCAACTGAAGGCAGGAGGGAGCGGCCATAATATGATGTGGGCTGGGTCTTGAAGGGTGGCTTAGGCCTTACTCTACAGACCTGGGGAGGTGTGGTTTGAGATGAAGGGTACCCCCATAAAGCCAGTGAGCTCTAGATTCTCTTCAGCCCTGGCCATCACCACAGCCTGAAACTTCTGGGTGTCAGGCCCTCCAGTGGGGCCAAAAAATACATTGGACTTGGAGGGATGTGTGCGGTCACCCTCGGGCCAGGTTCTGAGCATGGGAACCCTCAAAGGGGCCCTTTGAGTGTTGAGAATGTCTGATCCTCTATGGGCTCCAGCTCATGGGCACCTGGTCACATGCCGTCACCCCTCGAGTCTCCACCATTCCTTTCCCACAGACTCTCAACTTCAAATTTGGTCTGTAGGTTTCTTGGCATCTTGTTCATCTTCAGTGCCCATCAGCCCACGAACTCAGAATTCCCACTGGCCTCATAAATAGCCACTTTGGACAGTCCACTGGGGCCACAGGCAGGGTTCACCTCTGCAAGTGGTTGGCAGCATCACGGTGGCACCTACAGACAGTACATTGGGGCTGGGCAGTCCCGTTTCCACCCAGAAGGCCCCTTGCTGTGCCTGAAGGGGGCTGGGCTTCAGACTGGGAGATTAGTGAAGGGGTCCTACCTTCCCCTTCCTCTGGGGCCTGGAGGTCAGTGACCCAAGCTCGACTGCAGCACCAGGAGGGCTCAAGGCCCAAGAGGAGACAAGAGCAAAAAAAAAACCCTAAACCAGGCAATGGTGCAGGTGTCCTGCTACATTAGCCAGGGGGCTCGTGTGGGAGAATGCCCTTGAAGCACCCCCACAGACGGGGCAGGGGGAGGCCTTTCTTACCAGCACCTCCCTGGCTCTCTCCTTTGGCTGCAGCACAAGAGGTGGGGAGATTGTCTGCCTTCAGATCATGGCGCCTGGGGCGGGACTCCGCCTGGTGGCCCCACACTTGGAAGGAATGAGGTATGGGGGCCCTGCTGCTGTCTGAGCTCTTTCCACACCTTTTGAGAGACTGGGTCATCAGGGCCGGGATGCAAATGATGAGGCCTGTGGGCTGGTGGCTGAGAGACATGGTTGACCTGGGTTCTCTCTCCTATTTCATTCTTTCATTCCACAACTCTTGGGGAGTGAGCGTTTCATCCATGTGAGGCCAGACCTGGCCCTGAGGACCCAGTGGTGACCACCCCCTGGCTGGAGTAGCTGACTGTCTGCCTGGTGGGGGAGGCAGACGCAGACATGAGTTAGGCCAGGACTGAGATGCTGACCATGCAGTGTGCCAGGAGCCCTCGGGAAGTGATGGTTCAGCCTGGCCGAGCCCTGGGGATGGGACTGGCCAGCTGTGCTGTGTGGGGACACGGGGTCTGCAGAGCCTTCTGAGGCCACTGGGGCAGTTGCCCTGCTTGTGTGAGGGGGCCACCGGAAACTGGGTGGGGTCACTGGGTCAGCCTTGACAGTTCACGATGCCATCACGCCCAATGCTGGGGAGAGCGAAGGACAGGGGGCCACAACCTGCAGGGAGCACAGCGGGCCCAGCCCCTGCCCCAAGGTAGGGGGCAGACAGCCAGATAACAGGCAAGCAGGATTCGGGGGGCTGGGAGCTGGGCCCCAGGGAAGGTGGGGTTGGGGCAGGGGGAGATCTGAGCAGGGCAGGCCAAAGGAAGCATGCCTCCCTGCCTTTTTGCAGCACTCTCTCTCTCCTGCTCATTTAGCTCTTCACCTAACCAGGATTTAGTGAGCCCCTGCTGCATACCTGACCCCTGTGCCAGAGCCTGCGAGGCAGCGGTGAAGCAGCCAGACTGGGACCCTGCCTTGGGAAGCCCAGGGTCTGAGGGGGGAGGCCAGAGTGTATGCCCAAGATAATCCTTGGGGCAGTGGGAGCTCCAAGCAGGGGTCTCTAACCAGCATGGGGTTGGGCGTGGTTAGGAAGGCTTCCTGGAGGAAGTGACATCCAAGATGAGTCCTAATGGATCTCTAGGTTCCTTTACTCTGCGACTTGACTCTTACCTCTCTATATACCTGCCCCAGTCAGGCACTGAGCCCATCCATTCTATTTTAGAGATATTTCTGTCCCTACTGCCCTCCCCCAGGTCCAGGCCTTCACCATCACTTGCCCAGCTGTCTGCAACCGTTTCCTATTGCCTCATCCCCAGACCCTCCTCCACATCTCTACCTGGGTAACATTTCTGAAAGGCAGAAGTAGTCATGCCAGCCCCCTGGGGAAAGCCCTGCAATGCTGCCC